GTGGCATACCCACCCTCGACAGTGGCATTGCTGTTGTCAACTGGTGCCCCGGGATCGGCTTAGCAATCGACTTTTGAGACACGCTCGTCAAATAACCGGCAACGAGTATTAGCCGGCTGGGCGAATCGGACCCTCGTGTTGAAAGGAGGCTGGGTTTTTGAACTCTCATGCCGAAGTAGCCCGCCGTAAAATTCGGACTATGGTTTTTATTCTTCTCTTTCCGTACGACGCTTTTCGCATTGATTATGTCCAGAAATTCCTTCAAACTTCGCGGTTCTGTGGTGCCTGCCGGCGAACGAGACGCGTAGCGAGGGGTGGCCTTTGCTGTATGATGGAAGGCAGTGAACACGTTGTACTCATTCTTCGTTTGCTTTTGGAACTGCCAGTCCCTCGCTGGTCCCCAATTAGAGCGTGGATATTGGATAGCTTGCCGCCCTAAATCTCCTGCGCCATCGCTTTCGGAGAGCCTCGATGATTCGTCCGCCACATCGAGCGGTGCCTTTTGTGGGACCTGGTCATTTGGATCCGTCTCTTCCTCAGACCGGCTCGGAGTTTCTAATTGTTGTCTGCGCCCCAAGATATCTCGAACGTAAATGTGCCACGCATCATTCAGCCTACCAGGACCGCGGCCAAAGTTACTTTCAAACCCAAATGAGGGGAGATCGTCATCAGAGAATTCTGGCGAGTTCCTCAATATCCTTTGTGGGGACAACCTTCGCACAGAGGAGGAGGGGACGTCTGGGCTCTCATACGAGGACTTGCCGAGACCTAGCCACTGACGGCCTCTCGCCGCCGGTCGAATTTCTCTCGGTATCTTGAAAGAGTCGCCAGCGGACGTAGGGTCAAAAAGGTTGTTCAGTCTGTCGTTCACAAGGCCTTTCCATGCCTCATGCACCGCTGCGGTTTCTGGAGCTTTATCTGCTTGCCGATGCGTGTCGTTGTTGCGCGGCTTCAGTTGCAGTAGAATCTTACGCAGGTACTCTTTCCAGTGACGACCGTGGGCTTCGTCGTCATCATCACTCACCGACTGTTCCCCTTCTAACTCTTGGGTCGTGTCGTGATTTGATTCGTCGGATTTTACACTCAACTCCCGCCGGGTCGCCCCTAAGGTCGGTGAAAAGCGACCGACGTCTGGTACACGCCCAGACCTCCTTAGAGTGGCCAATTCGAGCTGGTGCGACTTGTCATCCGACGGCAAGCTGCCTGCCTTGGAAGCGACTACCATAGACCCTGCTTGCAAGGAGCCCTCCTGAAGTTCTGAAACGTTGAACGGCCCAAGCGCGTCCCTTGACGGGTGCGACTCGTCGTTGAACGTCGTCCGGCTCCAGTGAAAACTAATCCCGAAGGCGCTCGACGCGTTCTTCATCCACGGACAGCTCACGAAACGTACCACGATCAACCAATGTACAAGGCGCCAGCAATCACCCATGCAGGCTCTAAGCCAATCTTGTTTAGTCGCCCTTTCCGATCTGCAATGTGAGGAGGGAAATGAGGATGAGCAAAGCGAAGGCATCCGACGGCCGTTTACCTAAAGGGGAAACCATCTGCCCAAACAGGGGCCACATTACCTTTCTCCCCCTTCGCGCCCCACCAAATTCCTGCGACCTAGAATTGCGGAGAGGGCATTTTCAAAACTACCTTGCTTTCGTGACCTTATCACACTGCGCACATGATTAGTGCCATTCACGATACCTGATCCAAAATTATTATTTGTCTCTGGTGACGCGTATTGCTAAACGTCCTTGCTCTCGAATAATTCCAGGCCAGCTGGTAGCACGAGTAACGGTAGGAACGTGACCGCTGCGGGAGAAGTGCCCTAGCCATGCGGCATTTGCAAAAAGTAGTCTTCTTTTTTTAAATCGTGCACGTCTCCGGACACGAAGCTCACGCCGAGGTGGGCCCGAATACCGGGGTGTTTGGCAGAAAACACGAGCGTGTTTTTCTCACGGTAAAACAAAACTACGCTGCGCATCTCTGAACGTTCTGTCTTCATCCAGATGTAGTGCTAAGGGTTGGGACCATACGCCGAGGTTTCAGAATTTACCGTTTTCTGACTCACAAGTTGTAAGAGATTTGCCAAAACTCAACGAGAAAACGGCAACCAATTAACGAAGCTCAAAAATACACGAAGACGGAAGGCGTCAGCAACCAGGAACTGGCTCCATTTTCCCATTAAAAATTTCCGAAAATCCCTTATAGCTTTCAAGTCAGATAACGGCAAGTTCTGAAACATCGGTACCTGATACCAACCGTTAGCGCTACATTCGGTCGAAGATTGACATTCGGCGATGCGCAGACCCGAAGGCGTAGCCGCGCCTTCGGGACCAGCCCGAAAGCGCAATTACGAATGTGCTCCAGATTTTCTTCTCTGCAAACGATAGTGTTTTCGGCGACATACCGGTTAAGAGTGAGCAGTCCAGGGGACGTGCGACCGTACCTGGAAAACGGCGCGCTACTGTCAGACGAGGGCCCGCTTCAAGCAGCCCTCGGCAGGTCCTCGACATTGAAAGGACAGCTTGACCATGGAAACGTGGGTTCGAGGAGTGCGTGCCCACGCAGTCCCGGCCAAATGCCAGCGGCCCGCGAGAGCGCATCGTGCACGTGCAGGAACTCCCGCAATAGACGATTGCAAGCAGGGCCGCCGCTATGTCTCTGCTCAGAAAGGGAAACACCGTGCAATTTCAAGCTTGCCAAAGATATATGATCACGCGCACGCTGCACGTGCTTGCACGCATGAGGCACCAGTCGGGGTGCCATGCTTGCAATTGTCTATAGGTGGTATTCACTGAGCCTGCAGGTTCGATTTTGCCAGGGAGCGCCACCGTCGATCCGCCATCTTCGAGGTCGCGGTTTGACTGGCGTGGTATACGCGGTCGTCCGTTGGTAGCGTGTGCTAATTTCATATCGTCGAAGAAGCTTCGTTGATCAGAAGAGAGAAAAAAGTTTATCTTAGGGGCGGGCCGTTTTAATTTCCTTGCTGCCGCCGAGTACCGTAAGTAAAGACTGAGCCGCATGTAAGGTCATTGGCTGGCGTCCTCTCGACCAGAGGCGAAGAATTTCGCGGGTCCGAACGCTGTGCCATCTGCTCACCGGGTCACTTCCTGGCAACAGACTGTCCGCCCTCGTACGTGTCAGCAAAAGGACCGGGCAGCCTCAACCACTCCGTGGCAGGACTCTGCGACACAGCGAATCATTGTTGCCTGCGGCTATCAGGGACTTTTTGACCATGCCATTGGCTGCCCGTAGTCCTCTGCCCAAGGAGCCTGAGGAGTCCCAGGCTCTCTGTAGAGTCTTCGCAGGACAAATGTCTTTGAGCCAGGGTTAGGCGCCGCTCACACACTTGCAGTGGAGTGGGACGGAGGGGCCGGGCCTTTTTGGGCCTCTTGCGACGTCTTGGGACCGGACGCACTGCTGCGGAGCTGGTCCTAGAACGTCGCGGGGGGCTTGGGGGCCGGTCTTGCCCCTCTCCGTCCTACTCGGTTGCGGGTGTGAACTGCGCTCTAATCTAAACTGGCGCAAACTTTCAGCTTTCTCACCCTGCATTTAGCTTCATTGTCATTATTTTATTTCCTTGTCGCATCTTATTTTAGTTTTGTGGACGTCATTTTGTGACTCTTATGTGCACGGCGGCAGGCAAGCAGGCGCACAGGCGTAAGGGTTTTAACCTCTGTGCTTCGCCTTGCACGCTGCCGTGTACGTGCCCTGATCTGTGCAAAATAAATCAAATAAATCAAATCAAGCAATTGGGCGAGCGACGAGACGAGACGTGCGAAGGCGACAGCGACGACGACCCGCTTCGCTGTCGCTCGGTCCGTCGCGCGACGGGGCAAACCGCATGGAAGCGACGGGAGCAAGCGACCAAGGTGATGACTCTGATGAGCGACGATTTCTAGAAATTTAAAAACCGAGCGACGCCACGAGCGACCGTGAGAACTCCGTCGCTGTCGCCGTCGTTCGGCTCGTCGCTCGCTAAATCGCTTACATGCGGTTCACCCTTACTGTCGCTCGTCGCGTAGCCCGGTTTTGCGATTTCTAACTTAGCTCATCTCCTTGGTCGTTTGCTCCCGTCGCTTTCATGCGGTTTGCCTCGTCGCGCGAGTGACCGAGCGACAGCGAAGCGGGTCGCCGTCGCTTGTCTCGTCGCTCGCCAGATCGCTTACATGCGGTTTTTAAATCGTTTGGGCTAATGAAAAATGCGACGCATTTTTCATTAGTCGCGCACTCGTTGAGCCGCACGGTATGTTCTGCACAGGAACGAACACCGAAGGCACGACGTACGACACGGAGGCGACGGAGAAACACGGTTAGACGGCCATAGTGCAGAAAATCCGCTAGAGAAAAAACAATAACAAAGAAACTAGCAAAACAAAACAAAGAGAAATTACACCATGCTATAAAAGCACCAAAGTACAAAAATCACAGTTCTTGCAAAAGAGCTACCGCCGTGGGTACGGCGCGCGACACGGAGCGCTGCATTGAGCTGATGGAGCAGCGCGGCCGCGGTGGACAAGTCCGATAGCGACAAAAACGCACACAAAATATTCCTACGGCGCTTCGAAAGCACCAAAGTATAGGAATAACCCATAGTTTCGGTCAAAAAGACCCTTTAAAGTTGTAAAATGCTGCTAAACCACGCTGAAAGGTCCGGCCAGACGCATAAAAAGAGACCTCAAAGATGGCGACCCTAGCGAGTGACGTCAAGTGAATGTCACCTATAGACCTTTTCGCCATCCGTCGCTTGGCCGCTGCCATCTTGGAATCACGTGACGCGGTGGCTTCAAATCGCCGTACCTCTCTCCCCTCCGTGCCCTGGCGAAAGCGTTGTCAAATATACTTTAGTAAAGTATTTGGCGTTGTAACCGTGTTTTTCGTCGCGTTTTACCGCGCTTTTTCTTTTTTTTTTTTTTTGCCTAGCTTCGTGAAGTGTCGTTTGATACTTATTTTTACTGCCTAACTGCATGCCATCATTATAGCACGTTTTGTCTATTTGCAGTGTCGGCGTACCGGATACGTGCGAGGAAAGGAATCAGCGTTAGCACTGGCGCACGTTGAGTATGTATATGACTCTAAAGGCTCGTTCACACAGACCCGTTTTCTTCCGTTACGTTAGAAAAAGTCACCGGGGAATCTGTGCTTCGTATTAAGCGTGGCTACCAATTCAAGGAGATAGCCTGGCACGCGACATTCGAGACACAAATGTTACGGTGACGACGAGCTAGGACGGCGAGTTAGCGTGGCAGCCAAGGACACAAGGCTCGTCGTAACGTAACGTAAGGAGTTGAGCTCGGTTCAACTTTTCACACAGCACCGTTTTCTTAGGTTACGTCTAAGTCACCGAAACATTCGATTCTCGAAAGTCGCGTGCCAGGCTATCTCCTTGAATTGGTAGCCACGCTTAATACGAACCACAGATTTCACGGTGACTTTTCGTAACGTAAGAAAGCGGGTCTGTGTGAACGAGCCTTGAAGGCTCTTTCACACCGCCCCATTTTCTTGCGTTAAGTTACGTTACGCATAAGTCACCGAAACATTCGTGTCTCGAATGTCGCGTGTCATGCTTTCTCCGTGAACTGGTGGCCTCACAGGTCCCGTTGACTTCAACGTGATATTTCGTAAGTTCACATGGGTCCCCATCATTTCGTCGAAACTCGTTTCCTGGAATTACATTTCGTGGACATAACTTTTCATGGACCCAGGTTTCGTCGACAGTCGTTTCATCGACACTCGTCACGCGAATTCCACGCTGTGGGGATATTTCGTTACGCGTGCATCACTGAGGTGCGCGTGAACCTTCCCCCTTCCCTTCCCCTTCCTTCCTCCTCCTCCCCCCCCCCCCCCCTTCTTCCCTCTTCCGCCTGCATCCACGCTGCTTCGCGGCGACTGTATGCGGCGGCTCATTACAAAAATGTTAATTTTCCTTTAACATTATTCCTGACACACCGCTAAGCGGTGTGTCAAGAATAATGCAACAATAATGAGAGAACAGTAATGTACAATAATCAGACACGCCGCTTAGCGGCGTGTCTCATGCAGCTATAGCTTATCACAGAAAAAGGCTAATCTGAGCTGTCGATGAAACGATTTTTCGATGAAACAATCTGTCAATGAAACGAAACATCGCGTGTCGATGAAACGATCTGTCAATGACGAAAATACTCCCTGGAGAAGGGGAACAAACGTCGTTCGATGAACTGGCTGCCACCGTCGGAGCACGACCAACCGTTGTGATCGGGTAATTCGACCGGACGCGGGTTGGTGAAGATTCGAAAAACACGGAAGAATAAAACATGTAGGGACGAATACAGCGCAGTTCTTTGTTGACATGGAATGTAAGATCAAACACATTATTCCGTCGGATCAAATGTTTTTGTTGAATTAGGCTTGGCCCGCAAATCAGTCGGTAGGTTTTTCTGGCGGGCTTTCAGCTTTCTGCGATGCGTGTTTTATTCCTGAGCGCGGGCTCGAACGATATGGCAGCGGCGCCAAATGAATTTTGAAAACGAAGAAACAGCTCGGATGCCTGGAACGATCACAGGAAAACGCAAACCATTCACTTTTTGTTCCTAGAGGCGACGACAACGACGACGGTTTGCAAGACACGATTCAAATCGACGACACTCAATTCGGTAACGATATCCGAGTAATGGACACAACGACCTGTGCTTGCCGTTCCTAGTAACTACAGAAATACGACATAGTCTGGTCGACACGATATCGAACAAAGGCGGCCGAAAAACCCAGTCGGTAACGCCAAAAACGTGCTTTAAAAACAAATTGTACTAAGGATTACAGCAAGCGTTTATTGGCTGTGAAAACTGGCAGCTATTTGACGTCAGCGAAGTAAAAATGACAATCTTTTTTTTGCGACAAACATACATAAAAAATCAACAAAAACAAGCAAGACAAAAGTGGCGTTATTACGGGACGTCCTATTTGTGACGTCACTTCTGGTGACGTTGTGTCACGTGAAATTTGCATTATTTCTGCTCCGAATCGCTCGTTCGCATATCGTCCATTGCCAGAGGCCAGAACGCATGGTCTCCCTCAGAACTCTCCTACCATTTTCTTTCTCTTTGTGCAAAACCTAGTATCCCCCCCCCCCCCCCCCCCCCCCCCCCAACACACACACTCAGGCTGACAGTCACTACAGTCTACAACATGTTTAGCCATTTCCGAGTTCTGAGCCTTACCTTCTATTGTCCTTTTATGTTCTAAGAGCCTTTCATTGAAACAGCGACCAGTTTGCCCAAAAAGGACAAACCACACCGCAACGGAATGTGGGTTTCTATATTTTTTTCTGGCACCCCCGAGGACCACCCGAAAAGGGGGATAACCTTTCTAATTTGTGCTCAGCTTTGAAAACTAAATTTACACCGAACCTCTTTTCCAGTGATATAAAGTTACGAGAGGTCCCATGGTAGTAAGGCACACACACAACGTTCTTCACAACCGGTTTTTCCACAGAAGCCGGATTAAACCTCCCTAACACCTTGAGCACAACTCTAACAATTACATTCTGGTGTAATTGTTAGAGTGGTTGTAAACAAAAATGGAGCTTGGCAGAAAGTGTTGTCGGTTTTTATCCAGAAATGCCTGACAGGAGTGGGGCTCAACAGTCCATTGTCTCTCAAAAACTCTGCGCAATTGATTGAAATATTGAATCCGCATCATGGAGAAAGTGTGCTATGACAACGTTAGACATCAAGGACTTATAATACTCCACGGATAAGTCGGAACAGTCAATAAGGGTCAGGAGGTGGTGTGATGATAACCTAGTGAAGTTCCCGTCTGCCTCTAAAAATTATTGTAGTTTTTTTTTTTTTTTTTTTTTTTTTTTTTTTTTTTTTTTTTTAGCATTTTGGAGTTTTATTTAGAGTCCACTGTTGTAGACTTTGGGGGTTCTTTTTTTTATTAAAAAAGAGGGAGTGTGTACCTGGTCGTAAATTGCTCCAGTGTTGGCCGAGATTTTTTTTAAACGAGATGTATGTTCACGTTGACACGGTTGTGCGGTCCTTGCCGAGTGGATTTGTCTTTGTCCGTCGCTGGCGACATTTTGATTTGTGCGTTTTGAGGGAGGGTTCGTAGAGACGGTTAAGAAGTTTATAGTAGACAAACGCCAGGATTTGACGTTCACGGAGGAAATTACCATTCAGGGCAAAATTCAGTACTTAGACCCCCTGTTGCACACGGAAAAGGGCCGTTGCTGGAGGTACGGCAAGGAATAAGCAAAGCCTCTGTTGGCAGCTGACAGCATTCACTCGGAGATAGCTCAGAGGTGTGTAATTGAGTCTGTGATGGATATAACGCTTGAAAAAAATCATGTGTGCACCAGGGACTCAAACCGTAACCGAAACCGAAAACCCTTAAGGAACGAAATTTTTCCAATAACCGTAACCGGAACGAAACCGTTATTTGGAATTTATAAAGACCGTAACCGTAACCGTAAATGATTTACCGGTAACCGGTTTTAACCGATATTAACCGAAAAATTTGAAATATTAGTTTTTTTCAAGTATGACCTCGAGGAGGGATTTTAAAATGTCATTGCCATTTGACAGAATTACTGTTAGCGAGTGGCGCATCTGGTAATACATTTCCGTTCAATCTAACTTTAGAATTAAGAATACTTAGTTGGAATCAGTGGTCGAGCTTATAATAAAAAAAAGTATGTTTCTAAATCTGCCACACTCTAGCTTACATCGCTAATGTATTCAGTACGTGTCGCCTCCATGGTATTAGCTAATAAGTTAGAATTCTTAGATGCCCACCCCTATCAAAACAACCGATGTTCCTAACATGCATTAGCCAGTATGAGAAACGAGGTAAATTGACTATAATGCAAAGCTGGCGGAGAAGAAAACCTGGTATTAATTTAGTTTAAACGTGTCGCGAGTGAGGATTTTGGAACAACAGAGAAAAAAAAAAATGTCAGTGGTTGGACATTGGCATTTTGTGTGATCTATATATACAGTCAAACCCGTATATAACGAACAGCAGGAAACGCTGCGATGAGTTCGATATAGCAAGTAGCTCGATATAGCAAAAACCATTTACATCGAACTTCCGCGGTGAATTCGATGTAAGGCAAAGAGCTTCTCTTTCTTTCTCATCTCGTCAGTTCCGCCTTGTAACACGGCGCTGTAAAGATTTCTTTTTTTTCTTTTTTTTTTTGCATGCATGCAGAGTTTGTATGCTTTGGGATGAAAAGATTTTTTTTCTACGCGTGCGTGCAGAGTGCATTTTTTTTTTTAGCTTCTCCCCTTCTAAATCGCTGATTTGCTCAATTTTGTTCGCAACTTGAGCGTTTGAAATTTTCTTTCGATCGTTACTTGCAAATAAAAGGAACACGTTACTATCCTACGTTGCCTCAAAATAAAAGGAACCCGTTACAGATAAAAAGTAACAAACGTTACTCTCGCGTTACTTTTTATTTATAAATTGACGGTAACAGTGTTGCTGTTGTTTTGTTTTGTACGGCAGCGCTTTTCGACACTGGGATAAAGGGCGTGGGCGTTGGTGTTTTTATGAAGTGGGACTTTTTGCAAGGGTAAAAGACAAGCAAAATTTTGAAGGTATAGATGGAATGTAGTGCAATAATTAATGACTTCAGCTGAAAGGAGCGGCGCAATGATATTCAATTGGAATGTTTTTCACTTTACACGAGCTTACTGGCACTAGTGGGACTGAAGGATACTCGCACGCTACGCCACTGGCCAAAAAACTCCTTTGTTGCGGTGTAATTTCAAGGACAAAAGCGCACATTTTCATTCAATCTCTCCTTTGCAAACTTTGATGACGTAACGTGGGGATCGGAGTACACCCCAATGACGATATTTGAATGCGGTTCATAGATTGAACCCGAGCATTGCGTTGCCACTCGATTTGAGCTCGTGATAATTACTAGCTCGATAAGCATTCGGGTAGGGGGCCCGTGTCCAATCGCTGCAACGACGGCAACAGCCGAACCATAACAATGTCTGGAACTCAGCGCGTGTCCTGTGCTTTGTCAACCCCAGCGCGTGGCTATGATCAACATTGGCGGCATATGATCAGCTCCTGATCACGTGGCCGCTTGTTCTGGCTGCGAGTTGAGGGGGTGAACGCTGCTCGTCTTTCATTTTTTTCTGGGACTTCTATTGCGTGGGGTGAAAAACGAACACGTGTTTTTTAGGTCATTAACGTCAGGGATCCGTTTTAAGCGGTATTTGCGCAGCCGAAGCTACCAGGTAATGGGACCAATCAAGCAGCGTCAAAAGAGCGCCACTGGGCCTTTCTTGTTTCTAATTGGTTCAGTGATGATAGAACAAGCACACAAACATGATAAACACCTTGATGGTGCCCTTTTCACGCTGTCTGATTGGTCCCATCGGCTCGTAGCGTGGCCTGCGTCTGGACGTAAGGGAAAACAAAGTAGGAAAGCACAAACAAAAAAAAAAAAAAAAAAACAACCTTTTTTCAGGTTATGGAAATAATATGTAACGAGTAACGTAACTACGCTACGCGTTATTGGAAATAAGTTTCGTAAGTACGTCCCCCGATACTGTCTTGAAAACGTAATGAGTACGTTACTACCAGGGATGGGCAAAATACATGCAAATATGTATCGAAATACAAATACAAAATACTTCGTCAAAAAGTATTTAATTACAAATCTAATTACATTTCCGAAAAAGCATTTAAATACAAGATACAAATACAACCGAATGTATTTGATCTCCTCCAAATACATTCCTCAAAATTTGCGTCAGCGACTTCAGGGCACCTGCAACGGGTTTCTGGGTATCTCATTTTAATTTTGGATCGCACACTCGGGAGTTAGTGTGCGAGGCTCTAGTAACGTAATAGAAATATAATCACAAAAAAATTTAATCAACTTGGGCGTAATAGGTGGAAAAAGTTTGTGGGCACCCTGGCGGCTCCCAAGCCAAGTTGCCCGACTGCGAGGCTCAAGCCGAACTTTTCCCGCGTGGCGGCGACGTCACGCCAGCCACGCGCACATCGGATGCGCCGCCCTGATAAGGCAGATCAGAGGCGGCGCACGCAGAGTCGCTGCATGGACTGCGGCAGCGCCGGTTGCAATGTTAATCGTCTTGTCCATGTCCAATTAAATGTATTTTCTTGTTGTTGAAACCGTTGGCTCCGTGTTATTCCTCGGGTCGGGTATGCAGCAAGGCAAACCGACCACAAGTTCAGAGCTTCAAGCAGCTTTTTTTTGTCGATTACATTTTGGCATAGACCAACAAAGAGCCGAGACGACCAAGACGCGCAGCACTAGCTAGAGAATTTTTTTATTGTTGCAACTCGCACCAGTTACAAAAATCTGGACGACCCGCGCATTTAGAATGTTCCAGGCAAAATGTGGAGGGAAATCAGGCTGGAAAGCATCACAAGTTGTCACAGGCGTTTATTTAGCCAGTCTGCCTGTGAACGTCGATTCCGTCACTATTCTTGCCCTGGACTAGCACCGTAATCACAAAATCACTAAACGCTTGTGCTTGACTGAGAGACACTGCATTCGGTGCAAAACGTAGTTTTCTTCCTCCTCTGGACAGTGACACTAAATTTCAGGGATGTATTTTCGCCCACAAAATTGTATTTAATTACAATGGTATTTGAAATACCTACGTTTTAGTATTTAAATACACAGGTCAAATACATTACCCAATTTGTAATTAAATACAACTGGAAAATACACAAAGTATTTAAAATACGTATTTCAAATACTTGTATTTGAAATACTGCCCATCCCTGGTTACTACGTTACAGAAAAACGTAACGCGTTGCCGCCAACACTGGTAGCGAGCAACCGACGAGCGCTTGGCCGGAGCTTTGTGCGCGAACACCGCGTAGGAACAAAACCTGGATGGCCTCAATCAGAAGACGACGGCTTCCCTGCGCATAAGCAAGCCTCGGGACGGAGATTGAAATGGAAGCCACACTTGGCCTCCAAGGAAGTGCTTGTCGCACAAACGGTCGTCCGCGCGAGGCGACCATTATTTTCGATTTACGGATATTATTCACCTTCTGCGCCTTTCAGAGTCAGCCGGGAACTTGTGGAAACTTACTCCGCTACTTTTGTTGCAGGTTTCGGTGCAATTACCGCGGCTACAAAGCTTTGCGGCGTGCCGAAACACTATGACGCCCATACAAAACGCGCGTCCTTCTGCCCACACCACCCGGCTCCGGCGCGATCGCAGCGCCGCCGCAGCTCCGTGACGTCAAGCCCGCGTATCGGTCTGGTCATTTTGGCATTTTGTTTTAGTCAATATACTACACGAAAAAAAAAAAAAAAAAAAAAAAAAAAAAAAAAAAAAAATATATATATATATATATATATATATATATATGTCCTCGCTTAAATATGTCGCTCCCCGAAGTATGTTGAAGGGGCGCAGTAAGAATTTGATTCAAAATCCTTTTAAAGGCGCGCGACCGTCTTGCTAAAATATCTTCCTTGGATGCAATTATTTAGACAAATAAATTTTGCCAATCGATCGTCCATCTGTTTCAATACAGGACATGCTCGGCTCTGTATATAACCCTAGGCAAACTTAAATCACGGACTGTGCGGTCTCTAGATAATTTTGCTTCGTCTATGTGAATAAACAACTGTTGCCTCCTTTCATACCCGGTATTCTGCAAGAATCGCTGCGGTCAAAAAAAAAAGGTGCTGTTTTTCGTTAGAAAGATCACTCGCAAAAACGTCCTACGCGCTCGTTTCATGAATAAACCGTTTTTAATCGGCATAGATGCGCACTAACAGAGCCACTCCGTGCTTTGACATAGCGCGTCGTCTGCTCGCGTCCTACCAGCTCCGTCACAGGAGGGCGCCCGCGAGGTGGCACCACCTAAACATCTCGTCGGCAGGCATTCAAGTGGCCGGGACACGTGTAGCTTCTGTAACTGTCTAGAGAAACGCGAAACGTGGTTAGCGTTCGGCGCATGCGCAGTGGCGACGACGCTATTTTTTGCGTACGCAAAGCTTTAGCGTGCGCTATTTAAAACTGGCTATTTTTTATCGACTATTCATTTGTAATTTATGGAGAGCGCGTGCAGAGAGCATCGGGTACTACAAAATTCGAGCAGGTGTTAATGAACATTACAGTCACAGCGATAGCTGCGACCACTGATCTCTATGTCTACTTGCTGGATCGCGTTTGCCCGCTCCGCAAATGCGGCCACAGGTGGCCATCTTCTTGGTAGAGTTATATTACATCTAGCCAATGTACAGCTGGTGCAGCCACTATCATCCATCCATGGTGGACAGCGTTTAACCTGCCACAGTTGTGGCAGGTTAAATCTTTAAACCTGCCACACTTGTGAGCTTGTGATGGTAATGTGGTCATTATTTGTCAGTTTTATACCCACCGAAGAGTTTTTTTTTTCCTATCTTTTGTGTGTTTCTTAGCTAAGTGAGGTGCTCGGATATTCCTATACTTTTTTTTTTTTTTGCAGTAATAATTTTTAAGACATAAATGACTCCAGTTTAGCTCGTTCGTCAGGGGTGGACTAAAAGGGGGACGCACCCCTCTAAGCCTCCCAAAAGCAACTTGTTTTTGTGGAAAACGGGGACATGCACTTCTTGGAACATTTTTTTTAGTGAAATGGAAAATATTAGGTCAACAAAATAGATCTGAGCAATATGCTTCCCCTGTGACGTCGCATCCGTACATGACTTCAAATCTCTCTGCAGACCCCCAATCCTCTCACCCCGCAAGCCTGACCCATAAATTCACCCTTACAGTTTGCATGTTTCCACTCTGAGACAGACAAGTGATGGAGCATGTCTAAGTGACAATGGAATGCTGTATGCTTGAAATGCGTTAAAAGTTGAGAGCAAAAAAAAAAAGTATAAGATTTTGATTTTTGCATGGTTTCTCTGCCCAGCATGTTAGAATAATTGGTGGGTCCAACGTGCATTATAACATTTGTGGGCGACTGTTTTTTTCCGTCTCCAGGGGAAAAAGGCTAGACAGGAACAGTGTCCAGGAAATCAAGGCTCACCCCTTTCTTTCAAAACGATCTGTGGACCTTCGAGAACATTCGCGATGGTAAGCTTCTTTGAATTTGTTGCATTCGCGGTGTACCCGAAACTTCCCAAGCTCCCCCAACTAGAGCGCGACGCCAGCGCAAAAGGATCGGACTTCAAAATTAATTCTTACACACAGCATTTTGAGATGGTGCTATCTCTTATTCACCTATATTCATCATTCATGCCAATTATAAATGGAATATAGGTGTCTACATGGAACCTTTTTTTCAAAGTCCTTCCTCAACATTAAATTTACATGACAAACTGCAACTTGAACATAAAACTCTTTAATTTTTTTTTGTTCCAGCACGACACATTGTGTTCAGTTTTTCTTTTTTGTTTTCATGTCCACCGGCTTTAGGTGAGCCTGGGTGCCACAAGCCTACAGACTGGATAAACTGCTGTGCCAGTGTTGACGTACGTAAAGGGGAGGTCCGGTGTCGATTTGACTGTTTTCAACTAAACATATTTTCTGAGAGTGCAAAAAACTGAGCCTAGAGCAGCAAGTAAATTTTCCCAAAACTCTTTTAATAATTATTAATTGTAAAGATGCGATAACACCGATACCGAAACTAACCTGCAAATTTATTGGTTCGCCATCTTGTTGCGACGTCAGATGTAGCAAAATCCCGAGAGATAGCCTACCCCTATTTTTGGCTTGATTTGCTACATTTTTTTAAACACCGAAAAACAGCCCACTCCTAGTAATAGTAGTGTTTGGATCAATGATGGCCTTGGCGTAAATGCGGCTAGCTAGCTATGGCAGGATATAATTGCGAACGTTGCTGACTGGGAAGTACAGTCATCTTTGCTTCCCCTCGCACCCATAAGAAGCTTGGAAGGGACACGACCTAAAAATATAAGTATTTTAACTGTTCTTGATTGTACACCGAAAGTTAGCCCACACCATATTTTAACCCGATTTGCTTTTGATGCAAGGTGGGCTATCTCTCGGGATTTTGTATAAATATCAGCACGTGGGCAGCTTGGACCTGTTTCATCCAGCGTCGGAAGCAGTCAAAAGGCTGTCGCGATCATCCGTGGGAAATAATGGACTACGATTCATCGAGCTTGTCCGAGTTGAGCAATGGTCAGCAGATATTATAAGATTTTCAGCACAAAATTTGAGACGAATTGCCGTTCGCATTTAATCCGCCGGCATCGCCTCCGAGGAGATTGCCCGTGGCGGCTGCATTCGCGATCAGCCGACATACGGACCTAGATGCCGATTCAGAAGCAGAATGGCATGGAAGGTTTTGTTTGGTAGCACGGCGCAAACTGTTTCCTAGCACGACGACAACGCTAGGAGCTAGTATTCGCTTCGAACAGCACGGACCCACTTCCGTTGCAGACACTTCACGGTCAAAAACCGATGAGATGTCACTCTGTGTCATTTGTTTGTGGTGTTATTTCACCCCACAGTACATCCCCAATTACCCCCACCCTCCATTGCCTGCCGCAAACAGCCTAAACCAGACGCAATTGGCAAAACCCAAGACGCTCACTGTCGCTACAATGCCCATCGTCGTGGACGAGGGGGCGTAGTCTCCTCTCAGTTACAATAACTGACGTCGCGAGCGCCCCTGCTGGTTGTTGCCAGGAGAGTGGCAGCCAGGGATTCGGAGGCTTAAACTTGAAACTTAGTTTTCTCAAAAGAAAACAATTATTTTTACGAGATGTTTGTAGACATACTCAGAGGTTGATAATAAGTGCGTGGGGAAAATTCTATAAAAATCAATGACCATCAGTGCCTCGCCGGAGGGCGGCGGCTGGAGCGGCTAGAGCAGCTGAAGCAGCCAAGCCATGAGGAGAGGCTTCGGTGCTGCTATCGCTCTGTCTAATGCAAATGAGCGGAGTGGCCAGCATTCCTCCTGGTAGGCTCACCGCCGAATTCACAAACCCCTCCACTTCCTCAAAGAAGGCGCTAGGGCAGGCGCTGGCCAATCGCGAGGATGGATAAGCAGTCAAAAGCGCCTATCTGCCGTCGCGATTGGCCAGTGCCCGCCCTCGCGCCTTTTCTGAGGAAGTGGAGGGGCGCCTCAATTGGAGCGAGGTTTGTGAATTCGGCGGTAAGTTTCTGGGAGGATAGAGTGATGTCTGGGACACGCAGGGTCCGGATGCAAGTTCCTTCCCCTCTTCTCCAACTGCTTGGGTTACGCTCTTGCCCTTGCCCCCCCCCCCCCCCCCCCCCCCGACACACACACACACAAACAAACACACACACACACACACACACATACACAAGCGCGCGCGCGCGCACGCACGTACGCGCACTCACGCACACACACTTTTGGTAAGGGCTGTCACATGCTTCGCCTCCGTCACTGATTGGCCCAAGGAGGCTGTAGCGTTCGCTCTTTGCCAAGCCACGGTGAAACGGAGTATAACCGGCTCCGTTTTAGAGTGTCCAACATCTTCACCCATTTTATTATGCACCAAAGAAGAAAGGTGCGAGAAACCGGCGATGTGCTGAGCGAGGTGCACAACCGATCGTGACCTGATCAGTTGTATTTTCGAGGGCTGGGGCCCCAGGGTTTGTAAATAAGGAGCAGCACCGTAAGTGTCACAATACCAGGGGTGGAAGCAAGCTTGAGCCTTTTGGGGCAGGTCTGAAAGCAGCAAAGATGCCCCTTTGGAGCAGCTTTGGAGCAGCTCAGGAGCAACAAAAATCGAGTTTCGTAGCAGTATAAGCATATCTTGGAGCTGGTAACCCGAGTCAAACTCGGTGCTATAAGCACAGATGTGTTTTTCGAAATACGAAAAGAAATATAAATAAAAAAGCATCTCCATGTGACGTTCCAGAACCATTTCCAAACATGACCTTTCCTTAAATATATTCCAGGCCATAGCAAAAAGACATTTGAATGGCTGCCATTGAGAACTGTCCTGGTGGTAACGGGTTTACCCTCTCATGGATTTACAATAGTAGGCATAAGCAACTAAAGGGGAACAACTTATGCCTCATGAAAACAAAACATTTTCGCTATTTAACAACCTAAATTGCACGTTCCATAAGTTAAAAACAAAACCATTTCAAGCTGCAATACTATGGTATGAAATAAAGTCCAATACTGACTACAGTTCACTATTAGGAAATAAAAATGTTTCAAGTCCCTGTTTAGAAACCAAAGTATTCCAATACCCAACAGAATACAAATCAAAAGTATTCCAATACTCTGTACAGAGTACAAATCAAAAGTATTCCAATACTCAACAGAGTACAAATCTACTCTATTTGATAAAAGTACAAATGCAAAATATTGAAAACTTTATGATACTACCTATACCATTCCTGCTCATACATACGCACTTAATTAACCCTTACTAAAACAGGCGTCGCAGACTAAAACTAAACAAAAAGCTTGTCTAGGAGCTTAATAAAAAAAAAAAAAATTGACCGACAAAACTAGCAAGTAAGACCATAAACGTATTCGCCACATACGTCATTTACAAGAAACTCTACAGATGATTGAGGCAACCAATTATCGCTTTTATATGTTACGTTTACGACACGAATGAGGAACGCGGAAGCAGCCTCAGCAAGAGCACTCACCCCAAACACGCATAAATAAATATATATTATGCCAAATGTTTAATTTTATAGAGTAGTTATTGCTTTCCCCAGAAGTTATTGCTTTCCCCAGAAAAAGCGCGTACACGTGCGCGCGTACACACGCACGCACGTGTACGCGCGTGCGTGTGTCGGGGGGGGGGGGGGGGGGGGGGGGGATACAAGCTAGTGAAACGGGAACGGGAAACTTCAAAGTTTCCCAACTTTTCCCTCCCCACCTGTCTCGGGTTTTCAACACCATGATTAACTATCAAAAGCTCGCCTGCGCATTCACTGTCTTTTCGCTACTGCTGCATATCGCAGACACGGCGAACTCGCGTCTGCAATAAGTATGTGGGAATTCGCTATGAACTCCACCGTCACGGGTACGGCAGCAGAACGCGGACGCAGCGCATTCGCGCTTCACAGTGCGATATAGACGCAAGAGCCCGACCCGCTCAGACTCGGGTGTCACAAAAACCGATATCGCGCGTGCAAAAAAAAAAAAAAAAAAAAAAAAAAAAAAAAAAAAAAAAATGCGGGAACGAATTTGGAATTTGCCTGTCATGTCAGCCCGCATAGCACGGATGCTGCAGATTCGCCTGTCACGCACGCTGCGATAAGCACGAGGGAACCCGCGGCGACCACGCTTGTCGCGGACCGATACCGCAAATCACGCAATAAATGTAAAAAGAAAAAAAAAGAAAAAAAAAGATGTGTGATTATTTGGGGGCGGGCGTTTGTACGAGACTTTACGGTGATTTAATGCCCCCGTGTGTTTGGTATTTCGAATACACTCAATCATGCTCAATTCCACTGTGCAAAAAATAAATAAATGAACATGATGAAAAACAGCTTTAGATAAACAGGGACGAAGAACGGGTAAAGAATACGACAGGACAACGGCCGATTTGCAACTGAAGTCAATGACGAAACTATGCATCGAAGCATCGTTTCGTCGTTTGTCAGAGTTCTGATGAGTACTCTGACAAAGCGACCTGTGCATATGTGCCATATTCGAAGATGAGACTTACACGCCACATCGGCATGGTGGCTTCATAACGATAGGGCCTTTTAGCAAACCGTTGCCGCGTACCGCGCACTACCGGAGCCTTTGAAGCACGGTTTGCTGAAAGAGTCTGTTGGTTCAGAATTATCTGAACGAGCACAGCACGGTAAACCACTGTGGCCAATAAAGAATACTCCAATAAATATAGCCTTAAAAAAAAAAAAAAAACTTGTTTGGATAGTTTTAGCGCAACATGTGCGCTTGGGAGCAGGATGGCGCAGCGAAAGTGGATTGGCGCAGCGCTTCCACCCCTGCAATACTGAGGAGTCTTTAGAGCAGTGGTTCTCAACCACTACTGTTTTGGGGGACTCCTTCTGGGTCAAGAGAAATGACGGGGGTAATGGATGATTGCAATAACAAAAGTGTACATGAAGAAAAACTAATAGCCCCTTCCCCTGGCAAGTGCCGAGCGCTCCGCGCTAGCGGTCGTCGAGCGGTCGGCCTCCGTGAGCGATCGGTCACGTGATCCATCCCAGTGGCACGCGCTGCAGAGCAAATCGAGCGTAACGCTCCCAGCGCCACCGCTTCCAGAGCGTCTGCTCTCGCTTTTGAACAGTTGCGGTTCTTATTGCTATCTTGCTGAAAGCATGAAGTTCTGATCGGAACTTTATGCTTTGACAAAAAAATTTTTGTTTACCACTTGATGAACGGTGACCCCGACGTTAGACACAAATTATTTTTCCTTACTAAAAGTACAGCCTCTGGCGATATGAAAGACCCACTGGGAGCGCGTGGCCGAGGCGGTGGCTGGCGGGGGTGCTGCGAGCGCTCCGGGCAGTTCCGTTCTGCTTCGAGGGGAGGACGCTCACTCGGGGCTCAGCTAAAGCGCGCGCTTATCAGTTTGTGCTGAGCCCCGA